AAATCCAAAACCATCTCCTTGGTTTTGCTGATATTGAGAGAGAGGTTGTTCTCCTGGCACCACTCTGCCAAGAGTCTCACCTCCTCTCTGTAGTCCGTCTCGTCGTTGTTGCTGATCAGGCCCACAACGGTGGTATCATCAGCAAACTTGATGATAGTGTTGGAGCTGTGTCTGGACACACAGTCGTGTGTAAACAGGGAGTACAGTATTGGGCTGAGAACGCTTCCCTGTGGTGTGCCAGTTGAAAATTGAAAATGAAATTGATATAGTAAATGAGTTTAATGACTGTTTTAAATGGGTGTTCACTGTAGACGACACAAGTATCTTACCAACTCTTATTACTAATCCAGCATCATCTATGACCAATATATGTATAACTGAGGCTGATGTGCTACTAAGCCTAGCTAAGCTCAAAATAAATAAATCGCAGGGTCCAGATGGCAGAATGTACATGGCCACAATCAGAATGACTGTGAACTCCCTCTGGCAATAATGATTCTTCCTATCCCACATCCTGCAGTCCCACATCCTGCAGTCCCACATCCTGCTGTCCCACATCATGCTGTCCCACATCATGCTGTCCCACATCATGCTGTCCCACATCATGCTGTTCCTCTTGCTGTCCCTCATCCTGCTGACATCAAAACATATATTAGTTGTTTCTTTTTATAGCATACCTGCTTGTTTCTGTGAAGGTGGCTCACAGCAGCACCACATTAAATTTTCAGTGACCTGAGATGCAGTTTACGTGTGGACAAAAGCCCAAGATGTATAGAAAAAGTCCTACATCCTGCTGTTCCTCCTGCTGTCCCACATCCTGCAGTTCCTCCTGCTGTCCCTCATCCTGCTGTCAACATCAAAACATAAATTAGTTTCTTTTTATAGCATAACGGCTTGTTTCTCTGAAGGTGGCTCACAGCAGCACCACATTAACTCATTTCATTCAGCTCACCGGTACTGGGAGAGAACTGGACTCTCTTGAATTCCTATAGAAACAAAGAGACCAATCAGCTAAGAGATGTACTTCACACAAATTCATAATCGTCCTCTCATCTCAGTTCAAAGAGATTTACCTTTGCTGTAACTGTGTCTTCCATATATAGAAGCTCATGAGACTGAGCACAAAAAATAAGGCAAAAATCACTGCAAGAAAACCTCCATAGTGGCCCCTGGAAACACCTGGAAATAGAAGGTTTTTTGAAGTCCCATTTCATTCATAATTTTTCCATCCTGAACTTAGATAATCATAGTAGTGTGCAAAAGGCTCCTTCTGTTGGCTCATGCTGAAAGCATCGATTTATTATTATTGTCACTAGTATAATCTAAATGCACTGATCCTTACCTGTGTACACAAAGAGGGTCCCAGTGATATGGCCATACTGGTTTGATGCCTCACATACATACAGGCCGTTCAGTTCAGAGCCCATCTTTAAAAACACCAGTCTGCCTCCCTCAGGTCTGATTGAAGGACTGAGTACTTCACCGTTCACTCTAAGAGGTGAAAAACAGGGTCAATACTGTACTACCCAGAAACACACAGGACAAAAACACAAACAGATACTGACTACTAAACCCCAGCAATGTGTGTGACCACTTACTGACGATTAACGAGTCATGTGAAATTGATAAGCAACAGATATTGTCTTTGATAAGCAGCAGCTCATTATCTGAAAGCTCCAGCCTTGGTTTTACCTAACAGACACGCCCATATGCACCAGCAGAAGTTTGGAGACCAGAAAAAAAGCTACATGTGACCAGTGTTAATTTCATCAACGAAAATTTTGACAATAAGGATTCCTTGACGACGTATTATTTCATGACTAAATTGTAATAAGAACATAAATGAAAAAATAGCTAAATCTATGTTCGTTTTGCTCTGACAAGTAAAGACGAGATGAAATTGTCTGTTTGGGCAGACGACCTAAATCACAGTAGCCATCTCGAAGCATTGGTCATTGTCCTTTTTAACCAGTCATTTACATGCATGTAAATCTGCAAGTGCACGTACCAATTCTCACTTTCTCCATGCATCTTTCTCATTGGATGATTTGTTTTTCCCGCTTGATGCATGTCTGCGCAAATGCTAGCTTCCCATATAACTAACGTATACTCCCGTGTCACTCTCTAGTTCAGGAATTTGATTTTTTTTTTTTATTTTTTTTTTTCCCCCCTGTCGTGTCCGGCAGTTTAGCAAGCAGGATGTTAGTCTGGGTGCTTTATTGTGCCAACACTTTTATTTTGCCAAGTGGAGCTTCGGATTTAAGCTCCTCTTGTTACTTGAGGTATACTCTTTATTAATCGGTTATATGTCATTGCGCCACAAAGCCGGAGCTGACAGGGGGGGTTTGTGGGAAAAAAATAGAGAGAGAAAGTGAGAAAGGGGTGAGAGACAGAGGAAGTAGAAAAATAAATAAAT